TTAATAGTAACACCATCTATTTATAAAAACTGCAAATTAACCCATTTATTTTAACTTTTATAAAATTTTAATAAAATAGTTACTTTTATTTAAATTAAACATTTACTATAAAAATATTATTTTATTTAAAAGTACATCGTATTATATAAAAAACAATAAGATACTAGATTCTATTATATTATTATATATAATAAGGTAAAATAAAATCTCTTTTTTCCTTCAATAAAAATAAAATCTATTATTATATATATTTATAAGATTTTATATAATTTACTTTTGCAAATGGTAGTCTCAAATTTTAGAATATATATTTATATTAAAACCTCTAAATTGTTTTATATTATTAGTTATTAAATATATTTATTTTGTTTATTTGTTCATAAATAAAAGAAGTTTAAGATTAAAAGGACTAATTTGTAATAAAATAGAGGTGGATATAGAGGTGGGCTGGAGCAAAAATTGCTATAAAATAGAGTTTAGAGGCAAAAATAGAGGTGGTGTTGGAGATGCTCTAATAGAAGAACTCTATAATAAATGTGACTTTTGCACCAATGTATTTCTCTATTTTTTCCTCTATAATAGAATATTCCAAATAGATTTTTCTAAAATTTTAATATTAACACCATCTGTTTATAAAAGTTGCAAATTAACCCACTGACTTTAACTTTTATAAAATTTTAATAAAATAATTACTTTTATTTAAATTAAACAGTTATTATAAAAACATCATATTATACAATATTTGGACAATACTTTAACGACATTGGTGGATCCGGAAGTAATTTAAGAGAGTAATAAGTAATTTTTTTTTGTATTAAAAGTATTATTATGGAATAAATAAAAAATAAAATCTTTTTTTTTCCTTCCATAAAAATAAAATGTATTATTTATATAAATTAACTTTTGGAAATGGTAGTCTCGAATTTTAGAATTTATATTTATATTAAAACCTTTAAAATATTTTATATTATTATTAGTTATTAAATATATTTATTTTATTTATTTTGTTCATAAATAAAAGAATTTAAGATTAAAATGACTATTTTGCAAATAAAATAGTTCACCTCTATTTATGGAGGGAAAAATAGAGTTCCCCTATATATAGAGATAAAAATAGCAATCTCTATAATAGAGGTGGATATAGAGGTGGGTTGGAGCAAAAATTGCTATAAAATAGAGTTTAGAGGCAAATATAGAGTCATAGAGGTGGGTTGGAGATGCTCGGAGAATATAAATCAAGAGGACATACCCTTTGTGAGAATGATATCCGGCAATTGTGGCCACATCCTCCAACGCTTTTCTCCATGTCTCAGTACGCTCTTTTGTTTTACCTTTACAAGTTTTTCTAAAGGCTTTTCCAAAATCACCAGTCTGTTTCTTTATGTCAGTTGGATCCACTTCATAAAAAATGGTCATGACTATGTGACCCGACTCTTTCCAGCATTTCATGATCTCTGCCAACTCATCAAGACACCATGAAGAAGAAGCATAGTTCTTGGAGAGCAAGACGATCGCGATCTTTGATCCTCTTATAGCTTCTATGAGCGCAGGACCGATAGACTTGCTCCTTTGTATATCATTATCAATGAATGGGTCGATTCCCTTTAGCTTGAACACTACAAGGAAATGACTAAGAAAGGTTCTTCGGACATCTGGTCCGTGGAAGCTCGGAAAGACATCGTGTTTCCAAGTTTGAGAAACATAAGTTGAAGGAGATGGAAGAGATAAAGAAGAAGAAGAAGTACTTCCATTGTTATCTTGTTTGAATCTGAATTTTACAAAAAGCATGAGGAAGCCTATAGCGGCTGTCACTAAGACAAGGAAAAAGAAAGAATCCATTAGTATGGAGGAAGAATTTTAGAGAGAGGAAGAGGCTTTGAGTGACTGTCGAAGACTTTATTGGCAAAGAAACTCCATTGATGTTTCTTGGAAAATAAGGTGAGATTTCGTGGAAAATGTTTGCTAACGACAAAATCACTGTCCCACAATACTCCAACACCATTCACTTAATTTCTCCGAAACCAAATAATGATATGATAAGATAAGCATCTCAAATAACAACACCTCTCGTTCCACAATGCTCCACCACGAATTCACTTAATTTCTCGGAAGCCAAATAATGATGATAAGGTAAACATCTCAAACAACAACACTTGACGTCCATACATTCTTATTTTTTTTCTCTCTCTTTTAATAATATTGAATGATAGATAGAACACAAATCTTATCTTAAGAATATGTACAGTTTAACAAGGTTTAGGAAAGAAAAAATAAATGACAGAGATTGAAGCTTCACATCATTTCTCATACTCTTACTTTACTAAGATGTCTATAAATGTAATAATAGAATAAAAGAACTCTAAGTTTTGTGTGCAAAGCTATAAATCTCAATAATAGAAACAACAAAAGTGAGACTCTGAACTTGCAGTATCATCAACTTTACACGGTAATACTGTCCAGCAAAGACTCACAAGCATCTTCAAGCAAGTCCAGTACCTGCAAAAGAAACAGCAGACCAAGTTACAGACAAATATTCAACTTTCCTTGTGAGTTTGTCCAAACAAAACAATATAATTCTGGAACTTGAAGGCTACTTGGTGGTGACAATGGCATGCCATTTTAAAGTCTTATAAACTAAAATCAACCATTTGATAGATCTCTAGTGGTTGAATTTCATCTATCTAAACCAATAGTTGCTAGTACTACTCCACAATAAGCTTCTCCAATCTCTAATGGTAATTACCTTTTCAAAACCTTGAGCTCCACCATAATATGGATCAGGAACAAACTTGTCATTGTGTTTCTTGCAATACGAACACATTAGCTTAACCTGAAATTTCAATGGAAAAATGTTCAGAAAATCTCCTAGAAAGAGTTCCATAGTCAAGCAAACAACAACAAACACAAACGGTGGTACCTTCTTATCTGCATCGGGCGGGAAATTCCCTCTGGCTTTCCATACATTATAAGCCTTCAATATATCCTCTGTAAACATCAAACATTCAAACTCATATTTATTTGCAAATTCCTAGTCCTAAGCAATACATTATAAGCCTTCAATATATACTCCTTCTTCAACCTTTGTTCTGTTCATCCATAGCAAGAATGAGATCAAATTCCTTGAAGTCAGATGCCTTAATCGGTCTGGATAATGATGTTATCTCAATCCCGCGACGTTTCGCAGCACTTCTCATTCTAGGATCCGCCATATTCCCCTTTTAAAAGAACAGTTTCACAAATCAAAAATTGAATCAGAAACATAAAATTCAAAGTCTCCACTGCTCCCTTACTCCCACCAAATTACATAAATCCAAAACCAAACCTTTCTACGTCTAAAAAAGCATCATTCACTAATTGCCCAAATCGAGCATCAATCTTTCTATACAATCCTAAAGTTAGATAATTGTTTTTGTTCATCCCTTTGTAAAGAGAACAGTTTCACAAATCACAAACATAAACTTCAAAATCCTCCATTGCTCCTTACTCCCACCAAATTACATCCACCAAAATCAAAACCCTAAATCCAAAATCTAACCTTTCTACATCTGAAAAGAATCATTCACTAATCGTTCTAATCAAGCTCAAGCATCAGTCTTCTTCTTACACAACCCTAAAGCTATTATCTTTGAATTCGAAAATGGAACAGAAATGGTAAGTGTACCTCGTGATAATCAATGGTACCAGCGGAATCAATGTTGAATTTGGAATCGAGACCTCTCTTCTTCACAATATCTCTAAAGACACCTTCAGCTGCAGGACTCCGACAGATGTTCCCGAGACAGACGAAAAGAACAGAGTAAGGTTTGGTCTCGCTGCTCTGCGTCGGAGTTGTCGTCTCCATTGAAGATGATGCAAAGCACTTAAGGGAATGAGAAATTCTGGGTTTTTCTCTGAAAATCGAAACGAGGTTAGGGTTTTTGTGGGACGATCGGAATGTGGAATTGAAATGACAAGGAAGAGTGTAGTGGCAAAACGGTAAATAGGATGGGATTGTTGGAGAAGTGGTGAGGTTGGGACAGTTCATCATTACAACCCCTGAAAAGTTGGAGACTTTGGGGATATACGAGTTTTTTCTTCTGCTCTGTTTAAAGTCTCATTTCGTAATAAACAGAGAAAGACAGGGGTAAAATTGGGAACACTATATTAACAAATGTTGAATTTCTGTGAAGTTAAGTACAGTATCGAGTTAATGAATAGCAACTGAGTAATGGTGGTGCTTCTGAGACTCCTCCTACTTGCTTATTAATAAGTCCGGTGAAGGTGCTAGAGATTTTAATCAACGATGAAAACATAGAGAAGCAAATAGTGAAGGTCAAGCCACTTTTGGAGTCAATGACTCATCTTGGACAACTTGTTTTATGCCTATGAGTCATCTTTTGATGGAGGTATGAAAGTTCCGTTTATCTCTCGTAACCTCTGTGTATCATCTAGTTTGCCCACTTTGGTGTCGAGGTTCTCTTTCTTACTAAAAGCCATATGTGGATGTGGATGTGGACAGAGCCAGCCCAAAGCCCAAAGTCCAAGCACATGAAACATGAGCTTGCGGTCCTCGATAAATATAATAAAATTTCGGTCCTATTTTTCTAAAGTAGTTCGTTAGCTTAGTGGCATAGATGGTTCTTAAAGTGTTTTCGAGCTGTAGTTTGATCTCCTTTTTTTTAATTTGTTTGTGGCCTTCGAAAATATAGAGACGATTCTGGATATGAATACAAGTTATGTGTAGTTTGCTAATAGGTTTTTAGTTTAATCAAAAGTACTTATGTTCTTCCTTGTTTTGGTTAGAGCATCATACCATTTTAAAAAGGTAGGTAGGATTTAAATTATTTATGTTTTGGCTAACGAACGACGTGAACTTTCATGATATATTTGTTTCACTTGTACTTCAGTTCTTCCTTCTTTATGTTGTGTTGTAGTTTCCATGACAAGTTAGGTCTCATGAGTTCAATACTTTGTTGATTGATAAATGACAAATGAGTTACTTATTGAGGGTTTTAAATGACAAATGAGTTTTATTGAGTTTGATTGGTAGGACTGTGCCATAGTGGGTTTTAAAAGTTTCTGAAGAAGAGAGAAAAATATAAACTCAGGCCCATGGTTGGCAAAACATACCATAGTCCATTTGAAAAAGTTAGTAACCAAAGTTAGGGGGCCGGTGAGAACAAAGGGTATATGATTATAATTTATAAACATAAAGGGCATGGAATGATTAGACGGCAGGAGGATACGATGGTCGGGTCGGCATAGTCAGTCTCACGATGTTTGTTTATACTTTATTTATAATTTATGTTATGTTATAAACCGCACTTAAAATATTTGTTTTGGTTGTTGTTTCGAATGTTTTAAGTTATGAAGGAATTGGAAAAACCTAAATTTACTTGTCTATATTTCTTTGGTATGACTAGCAAACTTAATGTTTGAAACTAATGTTACAAAATCATATATATAAAAGTAAGGTTCCACTCTATCCTTATTGGTGGAAAAATATTTAAAGCTTTAATTTTTAAATAAATAAATAAATGTTTATGACAATCATTCAATACAAAATTTAATTAAACTATAAGTTATAATCAAATGGCAAAGAAAATGAAAGGACTTAATTATATATCATTCAACAAAATAAATAAATAAATAAATGTTTATTACAATCATTCAATACAAAATTTAATTACACTATAAGTTATAATCAAATGGCAAAGAAAATGAAAGGACTTAATCATATATCATTCAACAAATTTTATAAGGCTTATTGGTGGGAAATTATTTATAATCATATATATAAAAGTAAGGTTTCATTCTCTTTATTCGTCCATTTTGTATTTATTTTTTAAAATATAATATTTATTTTTAATTAAATAAAAAACACATTTAATCATATACATTAATTCATACGATGACAAAAAAAAAAAAAATTAATTCATACTTTAAATTCACACTTTACTACTAAAATGAAACTGAAAATTATATAAATTTCCAAAGACTAATGGTTTTCTTTATTGAATTCCAATAAAACACACTATAAATTACAATTATAACTCCTCTAATTTAATTATTTTAAAAATATAAATTACATCACTTCTTATCATATAAATAGCCATTCTCACATCCTTCTCTACCATATCTCATTTCTTCATTATTCTCTTTGTTTTTTTTTTTAAAGTTCTTGCATGGGGTGAAAACTCATTTAAAATATCATTGTAAGAGTTTGATTAATTATTTAGTTTAAACTTTTGTATTCAATTTTATTTATTTTTTGTTTTTATGTATTTCTTTATGTCTTCATTGTTTTTAATATTTTTAAATGTAATACATATGTATAATAATATTTTATGGTTATAAGCAAAATCAAGCTAAAGAAACCATCTTCATTTATTTAAATTTCAAAAGTATGTAATTTTTTAACAAAATAAACTTTTTGTTATATAATTATCAAACCAATTTGTAAGACATTCTATTAAGAATAATGATCCTTATATTTAGTTTGTGATTCAACATGTAATAATATAAACAACATTATAACTTTTGTTAACTTTGAATTTTATACTTGATTTCCTATATAAAAAAACAATTTGATATTCAATTTTCTATCTATTATATATATTACAACGATGAAAAATATAATTTAACCTAGAGATATAGCTTAAATTAAGAGGAATATAAAAACAAAATAAAAATGAAAGTTATTCTTTGGGAATTTTTTAAGGTTTCACTCTCTCCTTATTGGTCCATTTAGCATTTATTTTTTAATTATAATATTTATTTTTAATTAAACCAAATATCTAACACATTTAATCATATACTTTAGTTTATACTTGAAATCCACACTTTACTACTAAAATGTAACTGAAAATTATATAAATTTTCAAAGACTATTGATTTTCTTTATTGAATTTCCATTAAACACACTATAAATTATTATTATGACTCCTATAATTTAATTATTTTAAAAATGTAACTTACATCATTTCTTATCCTATAAATAATCATTATTACATCTTCCTCCACCATATCTCATACCCTCAATATTTTATTTGTTTTATTTTTTAATGTTCTTGCATGGGATGAAAACTCAATTAAGATGTCATTGTAAGAGTTTGATTAAATATTTGGTTTTAATTTTTTTTTCAATTTTTTTTTATGTATTTCTTCATTGTTTTAATATTTTTAAATGTAATACATATATATAATAATAATTTATGGTTATAAGTATTTTATTGATGAGATTCAAAAATATTAATTTTCGACTATCGCACCATAAGATAATCAAGCTAAAGAAACCATCTTCATTCTTTTACTTTGGATGTTTGTTTCTTTCTCACATATTCATGTATATTTAAATTATTTTCAAAAATATGTAATTTTTAAACAAAATAAAATTTTTGTTATATAATTATCAAACCAATTTGTTAGACATTCTTTTAAGAATAATGATCCTTATATTTAGTTTGTGATTCAACATGTAATAATACAAAGAACATTATAATTTGTTTTAACTTTGAATTTTATACTTGATTTCCTCTTCCATTTTCTATCTATTATATATACTACAAGGATGAAAAAATATAATTAAACCTAGAAATATAACTTAAATTAAGAGGAATATAAAAAGAGATTAAAAATAAAATTATTTCTTGGGAATTTTTAAGGTTTCACTCTCTCCTTATTGGTCCATTTAGCATTTATTTTTAATTATAATATTTATTTTTAATTAAACCAAATATCTAACACATTTAGTCATATACTTTAATTCATACTTGAAATCCACACTTTACTATTAAATTGTAACTTAAATTATATAACCTTTCAATTGACTATTTGTTTCCTCCATTCAATTTTAATTAACACACTATAAAATATAATTATAACTCGTCTAATTTAATTATTTTAGAATTGTAACTTACATCATATTTATCCTATAAATACTCATTTTTACATGCTCCTCCACCATATCTGATATTCTCAATATTTTCTTTGTTTAATTTTTAATGTTCTTGCATGGGTTGAAAGCTCAACTAATATATCATTGTAAGAGCTTGATTATATATTTGGTTAAAACTTTTGTTTTCAATTATATTTCTTCTTTATTTTATGTACTTCTTCATTTTTTTCATTGTTTTTATACTATTAAATGTATAATACATATGTATAATAATATTTTATGGCTGTAAGGAAATTACTTTATCGATGGGATTCAAAAATATTGATTTATGACCATCGCATCATAAAAACATTAAGCTAAATAAACCATCTTCATTGTTTTACTTTAGATATCTTTTTCTTTCTCACATATTCATGTATACTTATTTTATTTTCAAAGTATGTAATTATTTTAACAAAATAATTTTTTGTTATATTCAAACCAATTTGTAAGACATTGAAATAAATAAAATTTTATACACAAATAAAGGTAATTTGTGTGTATATTTATAAGTTTACACACATATTTGGATAAATTTCAACATTTTTAGTGGTTGTTTTGATAGAGTTTGAAAAGGGGGTAAATTTAAAAGTGATATTTTTAAAGGGGTGTTTTTAAAGGGGTATTCTTAAATTCTCCCAATATCATTCCTATTTTTATCATTAACAATATTATTGTTTTATCAAAAAATACTTAAAAGTACTAAAGAAAATTACTATCAAAATTGAACAATTAATCAACGAATAAATTCAAAAGATATGGATGTATGCTTCTATTTCATGATTTAAATAAATAAAATGTATAAATGTCATAAACATTGAAATTTATTTAATCTATTTTTTATAAGTAATAAATAAATTAAAATAATTAAATAAATATACAACAACCCGCGCATATGCGCGGGACATTACCTAGTTGGTATCAAAACCATACTTTTTTTTTTTTGCTAAACATGTAAATATCATATAGATGAAATAAAGGTTTTACAGCAAGGAAGACCTTAACAAGAGCAGCACAGGCAAAAAAAAATAAAACAAGGCCACAATATAAAAACAACATGATAGAGTTATCTAATCCAAAAAAGCATTAAACCTTGCCAATGCTTCTTGAGTCTCCGAGAAGAGATGATGTTGCGCAGTTCACGGTCTACCAGCTTGAAGATGCTTGGCGGAGCAATCCTTGTGGAGTTGTGAAGGACGTTGTTCCTTTGCCTCCAGAGATTATCAAAACCATACTTAATACTTAATTATAGCAGTTTTTTTCTCTTCTAAGAATATAAAAATATTTCACTAAAAGTAAGAAAATAGTACTATAGTTTTACACCTTTACAATTAGAAAAATAGTCATAACACACAAAAAAACATGAAAACAGTAAACATTAACTGCAATTTTCAATCCATTATTGGGAGATAGACCGAAATCGACGGTTGAGAAGATAAAGCGGAGTTATGGAAATAAGAAGATATTATTCTAGAAGATACTATTTGATTTAGATGAAACGATGGCAATTTTATTTTTTTTCCTAGATGAATACAAAAATAAAAAGGCGAAAGCAAACTGTAACCACGAATTAATTTGCAAAATACTTTTAGCTCTAGAAGCTTTTCACATGAGACCCGAACCAAACTGTCAACGGTAAACCAGCTAGCTCGCATTTTCTCGCCACAAAATGTCAGAGCGACTCTTTTCTCAAATCCATGAGCTTTCTTTGGAAGAAACCTCACACGTACTCTCACGTACACCAGTTATATCAACAATGTGTGCTCCTTCTAAACTATCAAGTTCAATTCTGAAGCCGGCTAGCGCAAAGAAATATAAAAGACAAAACAGCATCACACCGGGAACCATTAGCCTAACAAGCTTCACTAAAGCACAATCTTAACGCTTTCAAGAGGTAGTAGGTACGCAAAGCAAAGTTTACTTCTACATTGACGCAACAAACCTAGGCCTGAACCAAATGCAACAACAACGAAACTCACTTCGACTCGATAAAATTGTTTTCAAAGGCCGAGCGACCGACCACAAACCCAAGGTTCGTACAATAAGGATTTGAGTTCACTATACAAATTGTCCACGTCCCTCTCCTTGGTGCCTTGGTGACAATGTTTAGATATTTTATTTATATAATACTGTACCATACAACAAAAACAAAAACTAATAATCACAATTAAAAATAGAAACAAACACAAAATATGTATATGTCATTATCTTTATCCCCGTAGGGGCCTAGATTATAATGTCTCTTTGTTTCTCTCTTTTGAAACAATTGTAACAACAAAGATCTTTTAAATAAAATCCTCTCAAATAATTCCCTAATTATTGTCTAACTTCCATAAAATAAAATAAAATAAAACATATCATCATCTCATAACCATCGATATACAATATAATTTGCTTTAAATATAAGCCAATACGTTAAAATTACAAAACGAGTCATACCCAAACCCATAAATTACAATTCATGCCATCGTCTTTTGTAATCTTCTTTTTGATTCTCATCCCCAAAAAGGCAAAATCT